TCCCCTCCTCCTTCTCCTTCTTCCTCTTCCTCCTCTTCTTCTTTTTCTCTCTCTCTCCACCCACTTCTTTCTCTCTTTCTTTTGTTGTACTTTCCTTAACCTGCCTTGGAATATATTCAGCTATGTCCAGTCTTATCTCTTCCTGAAGAATAAAATCTCTCTGCCCATGAGGTAAAATGAGTTATCGTTTTCTGCTACCCTGCATCTTATTTCAATGAAAATACAGAACTGCCAAACTTTCTTAATAAGGTGAGGCAATTCTCACCTCATCTAGGAAGCTGTTTACGTTTTTCTAATTTTCAAAGATTTGCATCAAGCTGGAGGAAGAACCAACTTGCAGGATAAGGAACTTCAAAGTTTTGTTTTGACATCTTGTATTTGAGAAGCCTATGGGATTTTCAAGTAGTGAGGGCCAGGAGGCGGCTGGATATACCTGGTTGGATATGATGAAAGGCAACAGATTAGTACTCCTCAGCATACAGGGGGTAGTAAAAACTATCAGAGACCATGACATTTCCCAGACAGCATAGAATAAGAGAAGTACACCAAAGATAGAATCTTACAAGGACACCAGTATTTAACAGTAAGGGAAAAAATATCCTTAAAGGAGAATAGTAAACTATAATTAAAAAAGACATAAAGAAAACTAGAGATTTGGGTGTTTCAAAGAGGAAGGAAGTGGTAAACTAGAATGCTACAAAAAGCCAATAAAGAAAGGGCTAAAAAGTGTCCATGGACTTTGACAGTTGGAAAATCCTTCAGATATCAGCCAAAGCAGCTTCCATTTGTTAAGTGATTAATTGATATTAGGGTAAAAAGAGGGCAAACCTTTCCATAGCTTAAATACAAATGGAAGAAGAAAGAGAAGTTTCTTAGTCCAAGTTGTTTCTCTGGGACTATGAAAGAAAGCATGTTTACAAGCTAAAGAAAATAAATTAGCCAAGAAAGTGGGGGCTTAAAAAACATACAGAAAAGATCATACATAATCCTGGTGCGGTAGCACACGCCTGTAATCCCTTGGGAGGCWAAGCCAGCCTTAGCAAAAGCAAGGTTCTAAGCAACTCAGTGAGACCCTGTCTCTAAATGAAATACAAAATAGGGCTGGGGCACGTGGCTCAGTGGCGGAATGCCCCTGAGTTCAATTCTCAGCATCCCACCCCCCAAAAAGATTATACATCAAGACCAAGTGGAATTTGTTCCAGGGATGCAGAGTGGTTTCAACATTTGAAAATCATGTTAATAGAATAAAGGGAAAGTGATTGTTTTAATATAGACAGAAAAGATTTTTACAAAATTCAATTWTATTCCATGATTTTAAAAATCCAAAAATAAAAACATTCAAAAAGCCATGAATAGAAGAGAAACTCCTCACCCTAATAAAAGGCATGAAAAGATCATGTCATCTGTAAGTGTCTCTGCTCATAGATGACATGATCTTTTATATAGAAACTATCCTAAATAATTCACCAAAAACCTATTAGGATTAATAATAAATTCAGCAAGTTTGCAAGGCTAAAAAAATCAACATAAAAATTGTATTTCTATATACCAATAATGAACAATCCAAAATATAATTAAGAAAAGAATTTAATTTATGATAACATCAAGAAGAGTAAAATACTTAGGAATATTTAAATAGAATTAAATATTAATATTTAAAAAGAATTTAAAAATTATTTTTAAAAAGAAGTACAAGACTTGTACACAGAAATCTACAAACATTGTAAAAGAAATCAAAGAAATGGACAGAGATTCCACGAGCATAGGTTGAAAGACTAAGTATGAAAATGGTAATATTCCCCAGACTGATGAATAGGTCCCTTACAATCTCCAAATCTCAGCTTTTTCACAGAAATTGGCATTTGATCATAAAATTCATATGAAATTCAAGGGGCCTGTAATAAGCAAAACTATCTTGAAAAAAACAAAGTTGGAGGACTCGCAATGTACTGACCTCAAAACTTGCTTCAAAGTCACAGTGATCAAGACTGTATGTACTGGCATAAATAGACAAATAGATCAATGGAGTAAAATTGAAAATCCAGAAATAAATCTCTGCACTTATGGCCAGTGGACTTTTCACCAGGATGTCAGGACAACAAAACAGGGAAAAAAATAGATTTTTCAACAGTTGACACAGGGACAACTTGATATCCACATATGAAGAAATGAATTTGAACTCCTTATTGATATCATATACAAAAATCATCTCAAAATGGATTGCAAGCCTAAATTTAAGAGCAATACCCTAGGAAGAAAACAGAGTGATCTTCATGATCTCAGATTAGGCATTGATTTTCTTGACAGGATCCCAAAATCATAAGCAACAAGAAAGCAAATAAGTAAATTGAACTTTATCAAAACTGAAACACCTCTGTGCTTTTAGAAGCACAAGAAAATTGAAGTGAAAATAAAGTAAACTAAAATAATAATTGTGAAAGTGAAAAAGACAATCCATAGATTAGGAAAAAAAAACATTTGCAAATTATAAATCTGGTAAGGCACTAGTATCCAGAATATAGAAAATATATTTTTTAAAATACAACTCAATAATAAAAAAAAGACAAATGAACCAATTTTTAAATGGGCAAAGCATCTGAATAGGTATTTCTCTAAAAAAGACATACAGATAGCTAATAACCATATGAAAAGATGTTCAGCATCATTGGTCATTAGGAAAATGCAAATCAGAAACACAGTGTTATATCATCTCAAACCCACTAGAATGGGTACAATGAAAAAATTCAGGTAATAACAAATATTGGTGAGAATATAGAGAAATTAGGACCCCCCCATGTATTGCCAGTAGGTCCATAAAATGAAAACACTTGGGGAAACAGTTTGATGGTTTTTCAAAATGGTAAATATAATTTCCATATAACCCAGCAATTCCAATCCTACATCTATATCCATATATATCCAAGAAAATAGAAGATATGCTACAATACAAATAAACCTTGAAAACATCATGTTAAGTGAAAGAAGCCAGCCACAAAGACCTCTTATTATATGAGTCTTTTTGTAAGAAATGTTCAGAATAGGAAAAACCACAGAGATAGAGGCAGGTAAATGGTTCTTGTAAAGCAGGTGGTGGAGGTGGGAAAGGAGAAGGAAAGAGTGTTGGGGCTTCTTTTTGTTATGATGAAAATACTCCATTCTATAGTGGTAATCAAGGCAAACATTACTGATATATTAAAAATCCTATTTTACATCTCAAGGGATGAGTTTTATGCCGGTCAATGATATCTCAATAGAACTACTATGAAAAGTGGGGGAGGTGAATGACTGATAAGGACATGAGAAAGACTAACCTCCAAGCCAACAACTTCTTAGCTCTGAATAAGCCAAGAAGGAGGGAAAAGGGTGGTGGGTATTCAGGAAGGGAGCAGGACTGGGGTGAGGCCTGGACTGAGTGGATTTTCTAAAGGGCCTCAATGGTCGAGAAATTAGAAGTGATATTAACTGCTGGAAGCAAGGGGTTGGGAATTGGGTGGGGAATTTGAGGGAAAGATGCTAATTAATATAAATAAGTGTAGCCCCTGAGGAAATGCAGAAGGAGCAGCCTAAGAATAAATAAAAGAAGGAAGCTGGTATTTGCTAAGACTTTCTTTGTATGGCGTCTGGCCCTCAGGCACATCTTGTTCTCTTTTCTCTTTCAGCACCTCAGTAATCTCCACAAGAGGCCTAGGAGACAGTATTGCCAGTGAACTGTTCAAACAGGCCTGACAACAGGGGACCTCAGTGCTGCACGTGACTGTTTTCAACATCATTGGCCAAAGTGCAACCAGGTCAAGTACTGCAAATATTTGTGATTAGGAGGATTCTTTCCTCTAAAACTTGCCATGAGATAGTTTTGCAAAATATAAATCCTGGATCAGGGTGATTGTCAAGAGCAGACAGCCTGGGATCCTCTGTGGCCCCAGAAGTAGGGGAATCATGTCACCGGCTAAGACAACAATCAGAGAGACCCTCTCTCTGCCTAGGGCTGGAGGATAAGGCAGGGTCAGTTCTGCTCAGGTGCCCTGTTAGCTCATGGCTGCTTAAGCAGAAAGTTGGCTTCAACTGCCTCAGCAAGCAGGCTGCTCCTCCTCTTCACCAGGGAGTAAGACAAATGATCTAACATCAAGAAACACTCTTAAGCATGCTGAAGGACACAATTACATCTCTAGGCATGGCCCTTATTATAGTGTAGTAGATTGAATAATAGCCACCCAAATATACCCAGTCTCAGTGCCTGGAATTTTTATGTTACCTTTTTGGAAAAAGGACTTGTGTAGCTGTAATTAAGCTATGCAACTTGATATAATAGAGGCCTCCCTAAATGAAATGAGGAGGCCCTAACGCCATTACAAGTATTCCTACGGGAGAAAAGCAAGGAGAGATAATGCCCCCAGAGAAGGAGGCCATGCAAAGTCTTCACATACAAAGGCGGCCAGTCAATCAAGGGTGGCCCACAACCACCAAAAGCTGGGAAAAGCAAGGAAGAGAGCCTCCCCTAGAGCCTCTGGGGGAAGCATGGCTACCCACACCTGATKTAAGACTTCTAGCCTCCAGAACTATGAGAAAACATATCTTTGTTGTCTTAAGCCACCCTGTTTGTCGTGATTTGTTATGGCTGACCTTGGAAACCACGGCATATGATGGCATTCCCTTTACTTTCACCAATACTCAAAGCACATGTTTGTGAATGTATGGAAAGTGAATTGGGGGAAAAGAGGGCTCCAGAAGAGTCAATGGCGCTGTCATCTCAATTCCTCTTCCTCTTTTCAGGAGCTTTTTCAGTTTCCTTTCTAGTAATTACTGTGCGCCACCCTCACCCCCAAATGC